CCAGAATATAATGCATTCATATCCTCATACATAACCCATGAATTCGGCTTGCTTTCATCATAATCAGGACATTGCGGATTATTAGCTTTGGCATAACGTTGGCTAACCATGGACATGCTCCCACGGATTCCTTTTTCAACTAACAAATATTGATCCATATCTGTTATAAGTTTTATTTCAGCCCCACTACTTTTGTATAAAGAATCATTAAACATACCAGGAGCTGAAACGTAATGGGAAGGGTCTAAGCCATTATCTTTCAAACACATAATGGTATAATTCATAAATACATCGGCAAGTAGGAGTACATCTGTTTCAAGATATAAATCATGGTATTCACCAAAATTTTTCATTTCAAATTTTTTCCAGACTTCTTGGGCATAGGAATAGTCCGCTTTACTAATATTTTGCTGATTAAGTATAGAATAGAAATCCTTTCTTCGCGGTAAAGCCGTTTTTTCGAATTTATCCCAAGAATTGGTCCAGTCATATGGAAAAACTCCTTTTCGAAATAGAAACTTGATTTGGTCTAATGTATAGCCTTTATCGGTAAAATGCTTTATAGTTAGGGGAAACTTTTCTAGATTGCCATCCATAGTTGCAACAAGTTTTTCGAGGCCCATAGACATATGTTGAAAACTATCTAAAAAGCGCAATTGGCCCACATCCATAGCCTTATATTTTCCTATGTTTTCTGGAATACATTTTATTTTATCTGCTGTAAATTTAGCTACAATTTCCATAAGTATATGGCAATCATATCCTCGATAATTATGACATTCAAGAGGTACTTTGGTTTTAAATGCCCCCATTTGTAATTTTTTATTACAATCACTATGTGCCGGACCTCTATACTTACTGCTAATATGGCAATGATCCTGGACTTTTAATAACCCTTGATCTAACATTTGACTATCACAATACATACATTTGTACGCTTCTTTGAATATTCCATTATCTGGAATACTAGGCTGTTGATACCATTTTGGACCAATTATTTCATTTTTTCGCTTACATCCTTGGTGTGATGCTCCTTTATAATTTCCGGTATTAGGGCAACAAACCATTGTTTTGAGCATATTTTGATTTGGAAATTCTTTCTTGCAAATCCAACATTCCGTTGCCATTCTATGCCTTGTATAGTCCCCAGGTTCCATAACCATTTCTGCAGGTGTGGATAAATCTGTCTGAATTTCTGCTAGCTCTATTTCCAATTTATCTACAAATTTTTCTAATGCATCAGGTCCTCTATAAATCATAACTTATAATTTAATAATTACAAAAACTGTCCATACGAATAACTACATAACTATATCCACAAGGTATATGTCGCTGAATTTTTTCAGTACGGGTTAATTGGGCCTTCTCTTCCGGGGTTAGCTTTGTAGTTAAGCATTCGAGGTCCCAAAATATTCGGTAAGGATTGGGCATGCATTTATGGTTATAGAACGCCTTGGTGCTCTTTTCTAATTTTGGAACTTTTGGCTCTTGTGGCGCGCCATTTATTCCTGAACATTCATGAAGGCAATATTGGCAAAGGTATTTCCGCTCTTTGTGCTTACTATGGTTATAAACCAGTCTATGGATATCTTTAATAATACAATAATGCGAGCGCGGATTTTCTATTTCATCTGGCTCTGAGATAACCAGAAGATTAACCTCTTTGTATATATACTGGAACTCAAGACGCTTATTTTCATTAGACCATTTATACACGCAAAGACTAACTTCAGGATTATTTTCTTCGAATTTTTGGTATATTGGCGTTGAGACTGGCACAGGAACTGGAATGCCCTCCATATTTAACTCATTTATATATTTAGCATATATCCGGTGCAAGGCTACAAGTACGAACCATCCAAAGCACCATTCAGCATATTTGGGGAATGCTGCAACAAAACCAGACAAAGTGAACATTGGTATTACCAAAGATTTCAGGGATCAAAATTTAGTAACGTGGTTATTAAAATCTTCCATTTGTTATCCTCTTAATATATAGAATTACCTCTATATAAAAATAGTTAATATGAAAC